CCAATATTGTATAACAACCTAAGATCTCCATACTTAATTGATAATATTGTTTGGTCACCGTACCCCATAAAATCAACCTTATGGCTACAGGAATTCTAAAGCAGAGAAAAAACGGGCCGCTGGAAGCTTTCAGCAGGTAAATTGGTCTATCTTGTTGGAAATAAGCACAGCGGCATAATGGAACGTTCAAATTATGTTTGAGACTGGCTGACTGGCAACAGCGCTACTCAAAATACAAAAGAAATGAGAGAGAAATGTATAGAAATGTTGAGTGTCCTTTAGAGCATATGCAATGGAAGTAGATGCTCCAAACTGTTAACTGGAGAGAGTCAACAACTTATGCCCCACCAACCAGACACCATCTTGAAGATGGTGGGGGAGTGGCTATCAAAGTGATGTCACCAACAGTCTCTTATGCTCAGTGATAATCAGAATAAAACAGGTTTCAGGTAAGAGAGATCTCACAACTCTATACCAAGTAAACAGGTCATTGTCAAATTAATATATGCATAAAATGGGCCGCTTAGTAGTATGTATTCATAATAATTTGTTTATTAGATGTATCACACACAGAGTGAAACAGTATTACAGTTTACTGGATGACAACGCTTTTCGAACACAATTGTTCATTGTTCATAATAATATCATGTGAATTATAACTAAACAACTTCGAAACTTCTTTTCTATACTTTTATTTATTCCTTCCTATTCGTCGTAGAATTCTCCAATGTCCGGGTAGACAGGTGTTGAGTGGATTTGATAACTAAAGCTTCCGTTACTAATCTCCCCTTCCACCATGTTATATAAGATTTTATAGCTGTCATCTTATCCCATCCTATCCTACTGCATAGTTGGGTGTAATTGCATGTGGTGAGTGTTATCTATAGCTGAACTATTCTCCAGATTTCGTATCTCATTAGGCTTAACTCATCTGGATCTAGATCTTTATCAAGAGAGAGAGAGATCAACGCAGGTTAAATCAGTTAAAGATTGTGGCGAAAACTCAATTACCACCAATAAGGCGGATCAAAGGAAGAGCTCACACGACCAACTACGAGTGACAATTTCCAGCAAGAAATAATTCAAACACCACGTGAAAGAGAATATGTCGCATTTGGCCATTTCAGTATACATGTTACAGTTCACATGCCGATTACTGTGGAGCCAAATACATTGGCCTTTACCATGCATCCGCTTGTAAAACGCCCTCGAGAACACTATCCACGATGATTAGCAAAAGGAAAACATAAGGGTATATGTAGTTCAGTAACAGAACGTCTGGTGACGAATTCAGGCCATTTAGCTCTATTTGATGAAAAGTCCTTCATAGTCGACATATACAACATCCCATCAAACTTTTCTTGCAAAGAGATGGGGTGAAATCAGGGCATCTGCCTGAGAATACCTGAGGGAGGAACAACCGATTCAAAAGTTCACGCCAACGCTACTATTCGCACAGACGAAATACGTCCGTCCAACGGTTTTCTCCACACCATGATCATCATAAAAGGTCAGTCCTATCAATAGTGATTATCCTTTCTCATCCAATCTCCCGGTTCATTTTTGTTATTTTGATGGTTTTTCATTTAAGCTTACTTTATATCTACTTATCACAACATGTCTAATTCCCAATTACACAAAAAGTTAAGTTAATCAGTAATTATGATCTTACTAAGCTTGTTTTTTATCCGATCTTCCTATTTATTACACATAATAATTTTACTGATTTGCCCCTAGACCGAACGGAAATAGCTCAAGAACTTTTTTATTCATAACTTACTGCAAATACACGGATGTACAGCCTGTCTAGTTGGTGGTGACTTTGTCGAAAAAAAAGTTTTCTTCTCCGCTGAAAGAGGATTCAGATAGAAAATCCAATATTCTTTATTAGAGATGAGAGAAATCACATTTAGTTTTCCAATATGAAATGCTTCACAGACGTGCGGTTCAGCCGACAAGAGAATTTATAAGCTTATAAAGACTAGCACACTGTATTATAAAATTGTTTGAAGGGAAAACTTGAAAACTCTCAGCTTAGTCAAACCATCAGTCACTTTGATATTTGTGCAAGATACGCAGACGACCCTTTCGTTATGTGTGATAAGAACATAATTCTTCATGATATCTTGTTTGCACCCAACATTTGCGATCCCTCCCTGCAGTTCAGTATAGAAAAGGAATCTGAAGCAAGCATTCGTTTTCTTGATGTATGACTCAGTAGACGCAATAACGAATCTCTCAGGAGATTCATCCACCGAAAACCTGCACGGAATGGACAACTAACTAACTAGTTTTCATCGTTGGATGTCTATCACTCTAGGAGAAAAGAAACTTAATTCACTCGCTCTGATTTAGGATGGGAAACATTTGTAGTTCTGATTACGGTGAAACTCAGAACTTTCCGTCTCTAAAAGCCAAACTGGCGAAAAAACGCTTACGCGAACCGATTTATTAACGAAAACACAAGAAAGATGGTAGGCAGTCCACGAAACGGGTGACACACACTCAGTAATTTCAAGGAAAACCATATTCGCGAATTTGGAATTCAAGGGGTGATCACACTACAGATATATGCTGAAAAATCGTCCCTCTAACTAAATCAGGCAGTCAGTCAACAAGACGTTCTTTCATGCAAAATAAGAAATCACGTTCATCAGCGCCGTAAGTTGCTTTTTTCGCATATCTCTGCAGAAGATAAGCTCCCTCGTCTGGCCGCCTCCATGTTCATATGTATGAGTTAAACTGTTCCACTTGTGGAGCAGCGTGCATTATTAGCCAGGCAACGCCACTTTCCACACGGATACGAGAACATATTCCAGCAGCATGATTTTACAAGGGAGATGGGAAAGGTTTTCGAAGATCTATTCATCCTAGAACACTTGATCAACTCTTGTGTCACTCTATCAACCCTGAGCATGATTTTAGCATTACTATTTACACTGCGAACTGTTTCCACCTGTCCCACACATCATTCAAATACACAAAAAACTGCTTTTTACAACATTGAATTCTATCTTATCAAATTTCACACCTCATTGTGTAACGTTTTATATTAACCTACTAACCTAATAATTATACACTCCCTTCCTTCATCCATACATCCATCTTATGAATTATTCTACATATATGACACCAATTGTTTTGCCACACATGATACTTGACATTTAACTATGAATATAATCACAAATATCTTAATAACATTTCCTACTACTATTATTATTATTTTATGTATTCACACCTGTTTGATTTTCCTCATGGGATATAATTTCTTAATTTAAAAAACGATTTATGTATAGGAACGTACAGCCTAATGAAAATAAATTCCTTGTGTTCTTAATGTCGTAATGGAATATTTGCATTTCACAAGACCATGTTTCCTAAATTTAATGCGTATTAATAGTATCTCAAACCGATATCAGTCCATTCAAAAATTCATCTAACTTTCTAAAATAGTCTTTAGCAAGTGACCCTACTTCAAACATGTGAAATTTGTCTCAAATATAATAGTGACATGATGTTCACTGTTGCTACAACTACATTCACGCGTATAATCTCACAAGTGCTAAATTCTCCTATACTCACATAATGATGTTGAAACGTGAATATAAAAAAGCGACTGAAATATAATTACATAACTGCAATAATAACAGTTCACGTGGGAGCAACAGAGAATGGCTATAATAACTGGTGACATCTGATCAATTATTTTTTTTCCCGTGATAATCACCTGATTATCGGTCAAAGTATGTGTGTACTGCTCAGCTACAGTAGAAGTTCACTCCGTCCTTTTTTACGGATGGCTCATTTCGAGTGTGATATAGTCATTGAAACTAGAAGACTTGATAAAGCCAGCCAGCTAGCTGTCCTCATCATAGGTGTACGTCTGCATTCTATCTACATACCGTATTAGACTGAGAGGTACGTGTAATAGGGTGAGTAATACTGAGGAGGTTCTAAAGCGGTTACATGGATTGAGCAAGATGATTAGGACATGTGTTACTCATGCATGCATCCCTAGCCATCCATTCGTTCATCAATCGCCTTCCTCGACTGACGGGCGATGTCAGCTTACCTGACGTAGGATTGATGGATCAGGTTGGAAAAGAACTAGCTGGCTGGCCAGCTAGCACGTGGTGGTGGTGGTCGAAGGAGAACATGACTGGCTTCATTAGTCGGTCAATGAAATCCATAACAACAATCAGTTAGTTTAAGCCAACCGGCCACATAGGGAAACGTTGGCTGGCTTCCTGACCGACTGGTTGGTTGGCATCCTCGGGATGGATGGTAAGGACCAATGAAGACTGGGGACAATCGGAGGTGATATGGCTGCCTCAAAATCCTCGTTCTCGATGACAACACAGACGCATTGATTCACTCATTGTGGATTGTCAAATTCAATAAAACTCTATTCTTCTTCCATAATATTGTTCTTTTCCCTCACACTTGTGTCTATCATCTCTCTTGCTTCGTTTGCTACATGGAGGATGGAGAGTAGCCACTCTAACTGCTGCTGAACATCTGTACAAAGTTTTATGTTGAAACCAGTTAAATCTGTCAGTCATTTCAATGTACACTAACCATCTCATTAAAAAAATCATGTGATATATATATATATATATTTGTTTTTCTAAATTGGCAAAGTCAAAACCAAATTTAATTACAGAATAAAGTAATTCATAATGATAATAGTGATGATGATGATAATAATAATAACAATAAAAACAAGTTAAGAAAGCAGAAGTAGGAGAAGAAAAATTTCTGTCTGTCTGATGAATTAACTGTTCACTCACAAGAGGAAACGTGTACACGTTCCGTTGCGTCCTGTGTATAAAGACAACACACCACACGTCTTTTCTTTTCATTACTCTGTGAATGCTGAACACCAAATGGGATGTTTTTTTGGGGGGGGGGGGTGGAAACAAACAGAGAATATGTGTCTAAAAGACGATAAAATACAATCATTTCCAACATGATTCATTCATCAAGAAGAAAGGTGGAAAGACAAGTCATGTAAATCAAAGGAATGCATTTTTTTAGACGACATATATACACCGACTAGAAGATGAGAAATGAAAGACAGAAAGAAGCAATAGGCGAACATGGACACAAATGAGACGAGAAGTAAAGAAAAGGAAAAAGGACTATTACATAACGATAACTTGTGCGCATAAGAATCAGTTTAATATTTGTCTGTGTCTGTGCAGTGTGCGTGTGTTCGAGTCTCTGTAAAGACTCAGTAAATAAGAACCCCTTAAATAAATATATATGTATATAAATTCCTAAAGTCAAGGTATACACCACACAAATGAAATCGGATGCTATCGTCAATCACGTTTGTAGTATTGGGCTATATCGATGCAGTAGACTGACGAATGAATGAGATGAAGTTGTCAAAGAGAGAGAATCACTTTTTAAACTGTCGCTGTCACTTGCACTGGTGCATTTGTTGTTGTTTTTGTTATTGCTGCTGCTTTTGGTGTGGTGGTCAAGAAGAGAGTTGACTGTAGTCATTGCCTTGTCATCATTCGAATTATTATTGTTATTACTATTAACAGTGAAGACTGATAATGGGAAAAGTGGAAGCGTCAAATCTAAACTCTTGTAAATTCTCTGATAATGTGGGAGTATTTCACCTTCGGCGGGAATTAAACTGAATTCCAAACCTAAAGCAACATCCAATTCAGTGTGGATTAAATCACGACGAGAAATACGAAAAGATGTTTCCAGCTCCTATTAGAAAAATATCGAAAAAACAAACACAAAATCATAAAGAAATATCAGAAACAAATGTTGCGGCGGTGTCGACGTTTTTAGGGTATTTTGGGGCAATTCCGGAGGCTTCTGAGGAAATTTTGGAGCGAATTTTTCGGTATTCTGAGGGATAAATAACAAATTTCGACAAATTTTTTCCATTGAGTAGTCCCAGAAAAACCCGAGATTGTCCCAAAATTTTCATTTTAGGTATGATAGGTTGGTGTCAGGTTATGATAGGACCAGAGATCTAATAAAGTTGAATAAAAAAGTTGAAGAAACTTGGACCTTTGGTTGGAAAGCACAAACATTTGATCGATGGAGCCATTACACAGCATATCCTTTGTGTTTTGAAGTGGTGCCACCTGCTTTATCTGATGGGTGGTATTAGAATGTTTCAATAAATCAAATAGGCCAAAAGATATACCGTCTTGATTTCATGAAAATTCAATAACAGACAGTCAACTTCTGAACTTACTGCCTTCTTTAATCCACTATAAGACTGCGCAGATATCACTATCAAGCAACATTTTCTGATAAAAGTGCAGGAAATGTAACGCAGTTCAAGAGAGTATTGCCACCGATAATATATACATCAGAAAAATAATTTTTCAAGGCAAAACTTCATTTAAAAAGCAAATGAATATATATATATATAACTTGTCATTAAACCACAGTAGCATAGCAACTGACTACAACGCGATAATTAACGCGGGAATACGGAATAAAGCCACTCTTCATTACAAATATGTAAGTATGGTTAAATTAGTGTTTTGTATTGAACCCATTTAACCACTGTTGTTCAATTTCAAGTACTTCAATTTTTTTAAAGATTTGATTGGTTGTTTCTAAGTTAGCTTCCGTCAGAAAAATATGGACTAAACTTCCTTCAAATTCTAATGAGAAGTTGTGACCACTGTATGGCTTTTATCAGGTCGACTCTGAGGAGAGATACTCGCTGAATCACACTGAATGACAGTGGCACTATACATGTCATGAGTTCACAGAAGTTAGAATGTATGAGGCATTGGATTGACTTGGGTGGTGAAATGCTCAACTTATAGCCTGAAGATCGTCGGTTCGACATTTGGTGGGGCCATGGCTGAGTGGTGTTGCTGAAGGACCTCCGAAACATCTATTCAGTGCCCCTTGGTTTCTAGTAGTTTTCTAAATCATTCCCACGAGGAATGAAATCCCCTTCGTTTAAGTTGGTCCAACCTATTTATAATGTCATTATATGTAAGCTCGATCGTGTTGGTAGTATTATATAATCAAGAAAAATTGATTGAACGAGTGGATTAAGTTGTAGTGTTCTGGTAGTCAAAGCTAATTCTGAGCGAAACGGAAAAGGCTCAGGTAGTTTTTACCAACTCGTTCATTTGTCGAAGTTTGAGTATTATACATGGTTAATTTAAAAATAAATTAACCCAAAAAACTAATAAATTATTATAAATGTAAACAGACAAAATAATCCCAATTGAGACATTCAGAAGGAAAAAAACAGATTGGGCGTGAAGAACCGTTTACGGTAAAAAAAAAATAAATAGAATAAGTAGTAGTTGCAGTAGTAAAAAGCAATATGCCCTAATTTCCTAATATTTCGGTCGACAGTAAACAATACACACCAAAACAGTCAAACGATCTTGAACCAACCAATCACAAATAACTGCTGTTCACATAATCTTCGTTGCAAATTTCATTAAGGTAGGGTTATGATTAAGGTTAGAGTGGGTCCTCTAACACAGATTAGGGCTACAGTGAAACTTGCAACGAAGATTATGAAAAGCTGGGCGATCTGATTGTTTGACTGAAGGTCTTTTGACTCTGCTGTCTATTCTTTGTTGTAACTATATTTACTTTTCAATTAGATCCTCATCTCTGGCTCTACTCGGATGTGTTTACAAATTTTAATAAAACCTAATCAATCTATTCGCGACATGTTTGTTAACAATAATTAGTCAGTGTCAACATGTCAAACAGTGGGGTGATAGTTGACGAGGAAAATTCATTAATTAATTAATACCTAGACTAGTTAAACAGCCTGCTAGTTTCCTAGCCGATCCCAAGCCCTGGAAAGAGGGAGCGTTGTGTTTCACACTAGCGACCCTATATTACACAAGTTATCAAACTTGCTAGAGAAAAACTTCAACGCACAGAAAATATAATATAAATACAAAAGTTTTAAACAACAATCGCATTTTTCGCTGGAATCGGAAAGGAGAAATGGCACTGAGGGCTGGTGAAGGCCTTCGGAAACCCAGTCAGACAGATGATGTGTCTCCTTTCAATTAGAGCAAGAATAAGAATGGGGACATGGAATGTTTGTACAATGTACGAGACGGGGAAAGCTGCCCAAGTAGCCGACCAAATTGAGAAGACATGGCATAGGACTTCGGGGAATCTGCGAAAGCAGATGGAATGAATGTGGATTATCAAAATTGTCGACAGGAGAGTCAGTAATCTACTCCGGTTACCCAGACCACAAACACGAGAACAACTTAGGCAGTGAGAAGCTATCATCCCGCAGCATTATGACAGTAAGATTCAACTGAAAAGGAAGGAAGGTCACAATTATCCAATGCTACGCACAGTGGTACAAAAAACGCGGAACAAGAGAAGAATGAAGATTTCTATAAACAACTGTAAACAGTAATGGACATCATCCCAAATGGTGAAAGATGTGGTCTCAGACCACCATCTAGTTTAAAGAACCTTCAAGATGATGCTGATATCCTTCCAAACAACTGCAGACAGACCACAATTCAAGTTCAACACTCAGAAACTGAAGAACAAAAATATAAAAGACACCTTCACTACGAATGATTTCAGAGCGAAGTCGGAGACACTACGTGGCATCACTGAGAAAACCTGAATGGAAGAACATTGGAACTGACTCTCTGAAGGTGATGTTCAAGGAAACGTGTACAACTGTTCTAGGAAGAAGGAAGAGACACGACAAGGAATGGCTCCCAACAGATACCTACCTGGAAGCGAATAGAAGAGAAGAGAGGAGGATGGTGAAAGAGAAGATGACTGAATGCAAAGATGGACGACAGAATGAGAAGCTGAGTTCAATGTACACTGAACTGAATAGAGTAGTGAAGAAGAGTGTTAGGAAAGACAAGAGACAATTTTACGACACACTGGTAACTGAAGAAATACAGGCAGACTGTAGGTAAAAGAGACCTCAGGAGATTATATCAGATAACCAGGTCTCTATCCGGGAATAGATCAACCCAGATGATGAAACCAACAGAAGATATTGAGGGAAACCTGATTACCAAGGAGGAGAAACAAATAAAACGACGAGCTGATGAATTTAAAGGACTCTGGAATCGACAATCTACAACTCGTCCAGAAATACCACTGTAACAACATAAGACAAGGGCCAGGCAACAGAACGTTTATTACGGAAAATCAACACATATTTATAGATTTTGATGTACATTATTGTAGGTTAATGTTAGTAGAAAACACAGTCTGTTGATTGGTTGTTTCTCACACAAAGTTAACCTTGCATCTCTTGTGGCTGTGTCAGTTCATCTATATGTTAATTGTATCCACCTGTCCATCTTGACCTTGTTTTCACATGACTAACATTGACCTCAATTACTGTCAACCAATTTGGCTAGCAACCATTTCTCACCACACCACCGCCAACGGCACGCACATAAGTGTCTGCCAGTAGACACCAATGCCCCAACGAAAGAAGAAATCTTGAATGCAATCAAGCTACTGAACGCCGGACAGGAAGGCAGCATGGCAAGACGGAATTCCCTCCGGAGCACTGAAAACAGAGCCAGAGATGTGCTCATGCCATTACTCCAAAAGGTTTGGAAAGAAGGAAAGATGCCTACCGATTGGAAGGCCAGCTACTCTTTCAAGTTACAAAAAAAGGGTGACTCAGACCTCACCCCTCACAAGAAATAGCGTAGAATAATGATCTTGCCTATGTCAAGTACAACACTAAGTCGCTTCATCATCCTGGAGGGAATAAAGCATGCACTGGATGCAGAACTGCACCAGCCAGGGACAAGCTGGATTCAGGGAAGGCAAATCGTGTGCTGATCAAATTGCAACTCCACGCATCGTCAGTGAACAAAGCATTGAATGGCAGTGAAATCTCTACCTCAACTTTATCGACTACGAAAACACCTTCGCTAGACAGCGTTGACCGATAAATAATTTGGAAACTACTGCTTTAAAAATACTACGGCGTTACTTATCACCATCTTATATATTCAATGGTTTATTTGAAGGGATTTGATTTGTTTCACGTCTGATCATAGATTGATATCAGTTACAGAAACATTGAAAACCTTCAGAGACTACTGAACAACTGTCTCCTCCGTCTTAGTACTTGAGGTTCAGTACTCACCAAACACCGGGGTTCGAACCCAAAACTCTCTGGTCACAGGGAAGGCTTGTAGACCATTAGGCCACTGAGACCCACCAATTCCATGGCTAACTCATGAATTCCAACTTCTGTCAATTCCTGCATGATATAACGCGACTGGCACTAGCCAAATTCATCCGTGGCTAGCAAGTATTTGTCCTCACACGCGACCGACGTGTTGTACCCCATTAGCTGGTCACGACTTCCCACCAGAACCTACTCAGGTAACTACCTACCTGAATAGGGTCATTCGCTAGTGAGCATCAGATTGATATTCAAGTGTTGGTTTGCAGGGATTTGATTTGATTGGTTACAGGATTTCGTCATGAACTGATACAGGTTAGAGAAACCCACCTACCCACTGTCAATAAATATCTGAAAAGTGGTCGGATCAGGATGGCGGACCAATTCACAAAGTAGCTTACTGTTTGTCGTTGCCGTGTACTCTGCACTAGTCTGTAGCTTGCGTTACCTGCGGTTTCGATGAATCGATAGTACCACAGCAGGTACATCTATGGGTATACTTCTCGCTTAAATTTCGATATCTCATTCCGCAGATCCTTTGATAACCTCCGCTCCTCTT